TATAGGTAAATTACAAGTAAGGGGGCTGCTAAAACTAAAACGCTAACAAATAGTATATTAAAGTATAAGTGGATATTAAGGTCTTTAAAACACGAATCCTTTACACAATTTTTTTTTATTGGTACCTATACGTTCAAATCATAAATTACTAATAGTTGTAGAATATGCTAAATTCGTGATATGACATCTGGTATACCTTTCGTTGTCTGACAAATCAATAATCAAAAAGTTGACATGTAGACTTTACCTTTCTTGGGTTGTTGATGTTGTCCTGGTAACTTTATTAAAACACGCGCGTTTTTGAATGTTGGATTTAAACACGCTGAGGAGTACTTTAAATAAGTAAAATAGGTTATCAGTAAAAAAAATAGTATATTAAAGTATAAGTGGATATTAAATCACAGCAGTTGGGTTCAAACATAATGGTGTGTATCATCCTCTGGTCAATTTTTTGATTGCAACATATCTATGTTCACCTCTCTAAGATGTCGCTACACTCTATCAGGATATGGCTCAGCGGTGAGCAACTTGACCGGTTTATCACAGAAATGTTGTAGTTCCTTAGTCTAATTTTAGAAACATTAAATTTGATGAGATTAATAAATTCACAGTCTGTATATTTAGTATTATTGACTATATGGAAAATAACAAGTAAGGATTGAGCTGCCCTTGTCCTACTAAGATACTGAAGCTTGAAGGTTTCCAACATACTTCCATATAACACTAGAAGAGGAAATATAGGATATACATGATTGTCTGAAATACAAATATCTCAAAAATTGCAGTCAGCTGTAGGTGACCAGATACTACATGCATACTCCAAGTGGGACCTAACAAATGCATTATAGAGCTTTATCAAGGTATTAAATTAATTCTATGAAAATGTTTACATTTCAGCATCCAGATTATAACTGTATACAGAAACATTTACTGACATTCAAAAACATTTTGTTGTTGGCAAACCAGGTACTGACAATGGATAAATCGTTCTGGAGAACCTGACAATCTGCCTGCGAAGAGACCACACTGAAGATTTGAAGTCATCAGCAAACAACAAACAGTCAGAATTTTCAATACAGTCAGGTAGGTCATTCAAAGAGTAGGGGCGATAAATTGCTGCCCTGAGGAACACCAGAGCTGCTAAAATATTGCTCAGATAGTTCCAAGCCAACAAGAATAGAGTAGGGCCAGTATGACAAATAAAACTTGATGAGTTTGAAAGATTTTTCAGTCAATCCTGTAAGAATCAATTTTTGGAGAAGTAGATGGTGATCAACCTTATCGAACGCCTTTTCTGCATCAGTGTAGATTACATCCAACTGCAAACCACTATCAATCGAGGTAGAGGTTGGATACTGTGGATCTGCCAGAGATGAAGCCATGCTGCTGCCTAACAATATGACGCTCAAACAATTTAGACAAGTGATTACACAATATAACTTCAAAAATTTTAGCAATAGGGTTAAGAATATTAATAAGTCTATAGTTTCCAACACCCCTTGGCCCTTGTGCTTCCCTTTTTATGAATTGGATTATCAACAGATTTCCTAAATACTTTTGGAAAGACACCAGTGTTTATGGCACAGTTAAAAATATGGGCGAGTGGATTTGTCAATCCATCAGCACACCCCTTGAAGATATAAGCGGGTATGTTGTCAGTACCCACTGACTTCTTGGGTTTTAGTTTCTTTATACTGTTTAAGACATCATCAGACGTCACCTCAGGAAAATCAAAGTTGCCCCAATTGACATTGACTGATAGAAATTTAACATGACTTTATTGCACTTAAGTGAGAAAATAGTTATTTACATTACAAGTGCTTTTATGAACATGATTACAATAACGAGTGTGAAAGATTAGAACGACGAGGTCGTAGACCGAGTCGTTCTTATCACACGAGTTTTGTAGTCATGTTTAAACGCACGTGTGATGTACAACGTTTTATCTACAAAGCGAAAAATAAGAATGTGTTTTCAACTGTTTTCGTTTATTAGTAGTTGTCTACCTTCATTTTACCTTCACAGGTTTACTTTGACATTTGTCAAATCACCAGAAATAGTTCTAGATTCCTAACCTAGTCTATAACACCACTAGTTGTGTTATGAATTCATAACCTAGTCCATAACACCACTAGTTGTGTTATGAGTCTCATGACATAACTCAAATACTAGAAAAATGGTTATGTAAAAAACTCAGTGGCGGTCCATAGATGATTTTCTGGGAGGGGTGATGGATGAAGGGAAAATCATCAAGTGTCGAATGGCTTCGCGCCAGAGACGAATTTTTTTTTTGGGGTACCGCACCCAAATTTGCACCTGAAAATCGTTTGAAACACACCTCAAGCAAAAATGTATCCCGATGCCGGCAAAATAGTTATACAGGGTCCACTTATAGTAGACAATATCTCCTTTCAGGGTAATGCAAGAAAAAAAAAATTAAATTACAAAAATGTTTGATACTCTAAGGTCCATTAGTTAAAAATATTTTTAATTATACAGGGTGTTCCGTAAATGAGATATGCGACAGACCTTTGTTATTTCAAATGGAACACCCTACATTTCAGAACATTAATGGATGTGATCCATTCGCAGTTTGTTTTCTTTGATTTTTCAAGTTCTGTGATTTGCTTATATGTATGTATTTCCAGATATCTCTGATTCAAGGCAAAGTCATGTGCATTTTAAAGCGACAAGATCTTGAATATTCTATAAGGCTAATTTTATTTACAGCTATTTTGATTATGTCAAATTAGAGCTAAAATCCTACAGCTCAGATGACAAACATAGAGCTTTTCAGCTATAAGATTCTATGATGATTTGCTAATATTTTTTTGAACCTCAGATTTAGACAAAGATATGACAGGAAGCATCATTGGCTTATAACTTTTGATGCAAGTTTTGACTTTCTCAGATCCAGAGCAAGAATGTTGGTGTAGTGGAGTAGTTTTTTTCTCTTTACTAATTTGGTTTTTCACTCTAAATGTTGTCTATTTCAGACTTCTAAATCATAAACATTTAAAACAAATTCAAGAGTCTGGAATAGGAAAATTATTTCAATAATTTAGCTTATTGTTGGTATCCTGTAAAATTCTTCTTATAATTTATTACTTGGAATAATCCTATAGATGAAAATGGGTTTTTGTGTATACCAGTCCTGGGGGGAGATCTAGGAGAATCTGAAGGAAATCGGAAATCTAGGGAGATTCAGGGAAATTTGAGGAGATCTATGGAAGAAGTGAGAAATATCTGGGGAAATCTTACTGAGTGAGACTGTGTGCCCGTTCAGAATTTAATTTTCCATTGATAGGATAATTGGGAACTTGAGAAGATATCATGTTACCAGGTTTGCCACTGAAATAAAATTATTAAACCTCATATTGTAATAAATGTAGCTTTGATTGCCTGAAAAGTAATAGATCAAGAGAAAAGGCACTCATGTTGTGTTGAGGAGAATGCCTTGGCTGTGCATTTGTGTTAGTATTCTATGAAATCACTGCAAAATTAGGAAAATCTAGCGGAATCTTGGGAGATTTAAGGAAATCTGGGGAAATTTGTGTATATCTTTATAATATGTTTATTTTATATATTCTTGTTGTAAAACTTAAAATATTTTTCAATTGGAAGAGCGCAATTAAAAATGTTATGGTTATTTATGTAATAAAATGTTAAAAGTTGTAACACATATACCTACTTACTTTTCTGATAAAGCTGTCCCAATAACTACATCAAAATTCTTGAAGAAATTCTGAGTGTTAGAGATAATATGTTCAGCAGATTCATCAATATAGTCACCTCTGACGTCTGGATTCAATTCCAAGAGGCATTGGGTGGCCACTTGGGCTCTGGGTAGGCCAATGGAGTCAATTTCCAAAAAGAAGCTACAATTAATTAAAATAGAACAGAAGTTTCAATTATATCCAAAGAAAAAGGAGCATCTATCTCCTGCATGACATACTTGTGTGTAGATCTTTTTTCTAAATTTTAACTTTTAGACTTTGAAACCCATATTTTAATTGAGATTTTGACTTATTTAAAATCTAGTACACATACTAATACGGTATCCGCCAAAATAAACAGTACCGAACTTTAGAGCTCTCAGTAATTGCGTAAGCAAGTTGCATTTATCATATTTTGCTTACTTGGCATTAGTTATGAGGTTGACATTAAGTTAAGATAAAAATATTCGTCATTATGTATCTTTCAACTCAAGAAACAGTTTTCTTAGTAGAGCACTATTTCGCGTCGCTATGATACATTTTTTGAACATATACGCATCATACAAATTAATCAATGATATAATTTGTATGTTCGGTACTGTTTATTTTGGCGGATACTGTACTTAAGTTTTGTTAGATAGGTATTGTTAAATGTTTTAGTTTTATAAGGATATCAGCTTTATCAATAAGATGTTTTGTGCTTTAGGACAATAAAGCATGTCTACTACTACTACTACTAAGTACATATTTACTTTGATCCTATATCTTCTTCAGTAACCTTTTCTCCATCTACAATAGTAAAAGAACCAATGCCAGGCAACACAAGACTTTTCAATATCTCGGTACCTAAAGCGGTGGCATTTATCAAGCACACTTTGGAGTTTTCTAGCAGTTTTTGGCCGTGGTCGCCCCACAATCTTGAAAATTTGTAATAAGTAATAACGAATGGGGGTTTACAGTTTTGAATACCTACCTCAACTGTCGGTCGTATTTCTTGTTTTTGTCGCTCTGTTCTGATGGAGATTTAGGAGCCGGCGAAGACATAGCACTACTTGTCTTTTGAGAAATCGTATTTTTATTCGATAATTTATAACTTTAAAATCACCAAACTTTTTCGCATAAACGCCATAAACACAAAATACAAATTAATTGAGGTTATGTTGACGACTTGTTGTGCTCCCTTTTTGTATGGGCTACATTGCCCATTGTTCATTTCCTATGTGTTAAACAAAGATAGACTGTTCATCGAAGGTAATAAAAACAAAGCGCCTAATGATTTTGACAGAGATGACATACAATACATAACCTCGAAATTTATAATCAAACAAAATTCAAAATTTAATTTTTCTTATCATCTTTCCCTAATTTCCTTTTTATTATATAATATATGACTACCAATTTAGTGTAAATTAAGCTCAAAATCAAAATGAACAAAATCAGTGACGTCGTAATGAGAAAGCTGGAGAAATCCATCTACCTGAAGCCCTACACGATGCATTTCACCCAAAACGGCCACAAAAAGACCTGGGACCTATTGGGAATTCACGATAGCGTGTGCATAATAATCTACAACATTACCAGAAACGTTTTAGTTTTGGTAAAACAATTCAGACCGCCCGTGTATTTGGGTACCATCGACCCCGAGGACAGGAAAGTTGACCAACCGATAGATACCAAAAAATACCCCACTGAAAATGGGATAACTATAGAAGTATGTGCGGGGATTGTTGATAAGAACTTGTCTTTGGCTGAAATTGCTCGGGAGGAGGTTTTCGAGGAGTGCGGATATGATGTACCAGTGAGTTCACTGGAATTTATAGGTAATCATTGTTTTAGATTTTAATGCGCAATAATAACGTCATTTGTTATAAAAGGATTATAATCAGTAATGTTATTCATTGTAAATAATAATGGTGGTTACATATCTAGCAAACAATATGTCACAATAGCTATCTATGCAGGAGTGTTCTAGTCTAGAGCATATCAAACCACTCTTGGAAATTTTGACTTGGATCTAAACCTCAGAATAGGTATTCCGAGGGGGCGACCACTTCCTGCAATACGTGTACATTTGGCCTGAAATCACTTGCAATCATCTCCGAAATCATTCTGAAATCCCGCAGTCAGTTCGCAATATCTGAAATCCTTCTTGCAGTCCCGAAATCGTTTTCCGCAATCGCCGAAATCCTATGCAATATGCAATCACCTTTGCAATCTCTGAAATCGCTCAAAATCAACTCTAGTGGGGATAAAAAAATCAGCTGTAGATCCGGATTTTGCGCGTATTTGCGGTACATTGATAATTGACATCATGTTTTTGTTGTTCTCATTTTCGAATTCAGCAGTGTTTTTTTATTTGAAGAATCAAATGCTGGATCCGATGTGGAACAAGTGAAAATGTTATCCAATGAAAAATATTATGCAGCTCTTTAGGAGACCTAATATATTGGGCGTATTTCAGAATTATTGGAAAATGACACTTGCTTGAATCAAGTTTTTAAAGTGGCAGTAGGACATGTACAGGGTGTCAAGTTATAAAGTACCACCACCTGTAACTTTTTTATGTACGATCAAAAATAAAAAAGTTACAGGTGGTGATACTTTCTAACTTGACACCCTGTACAGGGTAGCCCCATTTCCGATGTTTTAATGGGCTATATCGAAAACCAGCAGAGATTTTTTTTGAGAAAATAACAATGGTGATGACAACTCACGGCTAAATTGTTCTTCAAGTAGAATCCAGTGGCATGACTAGTTTTTTTTTTTTTTTTTTTCGAGATGCCACTGATTTTTGGAATAGTAACCCTGATGTTAAGTTGTATTTTATTATTTGGGACACCTCGTATATTATTTTTTAATTGCCTAGCTCTTTTCGAGCTGATTTCAATGATATAAGGTTTTATAGCTTTACCTTCAAAATTTTTTGAAAAAAAATAAATTCCGTTTGGTTATAATAAACAATGAATTAGAAAGAGATAGTTGAAATATGAATCGGCTACAAATTTCTATTCTTAATTCAACATTTCAACAAGTATGGGGGTGATAATGATAAATAAGCAACACAATTTATTTCATGACTTATTCCTTTCTAGCTCATTGTTTCTTGTGGAGAAACAGAATTTATTTTTTTCCTTAAAAACTATTGACGGTGAAGCTATAAAACCTCATATCATTGGAATCAGCTGAAAAGAGCTATGCAATGGAAAAATAATATACGGGGTATCCCATTTAAAAAAAAAACACAACTTTGGTTATTACATATTCCAAAATCGGAGGCATCTGGGAAACAAAATTGGTAATGCCACTGGATTCTACTTGTGAAACTGCTTCTAGAAAGTATTTTTGGTTTTTGGACATCTTGATTAATAAAAAAATTAGAAACTCTTTCAAAATTGGATAAAATTTGGAAACTGCCCTGTATTTCCTTAACACATATCTAGTTAGCTGTGATTTGTCCTCACCATTGTTATTTTCTTAAAAAAGAGCTCCAGAATGGACTCCTACATTTTTATATCTCTGCACTGCTGGTTTTCGATATAACCTATTAAAACATCGAAAACGGGTCACCCTGTATTGTTTGCCCAGCGGATCTGAGTCTACGGAAGGAATTCAGATGTAAGGTAAAGTACCCAGTTGTTGAAATGTTAAGGGTATCCTTGCTTATGATCACCACACATTTTCTAAATTTTCAATCCCAAGGCTTTGATATATTTCAAACTCATAATTGAATGTGTAGATATATTATTTACCCTATATTCTTAATATTTGTGTTATTATGCCAAAAATACACGAAAGGTGATAAAACCCCAATAGTTGACACCCAAAAAAGTTCACTTCGCCAAAAGTTGACACATTTTTATCCAAAGGTTGACATATATTTTTTTACAAAACGAAATTTTTACTTTTAAGAAGTTTTATCACGGTCTGTGGAACTAAAAAGTATATTTTTCTAAGTGTACAATTTTTTAAATGAAATATATGCACATAATAACCAATTATTTTAATTTCTTTTAAGTACATGTTGTGGTTCCATACTTGATTACTTGATACTCTTGAAACCAATAGTTGACATGTTGCCTGTATCAGTAGAAACCCTGGTAGAAACATCAATAATGTAAGAATCAAACTTTTTATTATTAAAAAATAACATTGGGAAACTTTTTGTTGAGAAAAAAATACAAATTTCAATTCCAAATTGGTAATAAAAGAAATTGCTTGGAACGCATTGGTACATTGTGTTTTTTTTGCTGATGTAGCTGCAGTAAGCCCCCTATCGCAATCATCCAACGCAGCAATCATGTCTTTTGGTAGTTCTGGTGCATATTTCAGCAATTACCATTTTTCATATGTCATCTCTTGATTTAAACCTGAAAAGACCAATTGTTGACACTCCAAAGCTCCAAACATTGACAGGGGTAACAGGGGTGTCATCTATTGGATCTACGACCGTTACATTCCCCAAACCCATATCTAGGTTTCTTTTCAATCCAGAGCAATAAAAAGAGACAGACTACAATGTTAAAATATTTTTACCACCAAAAATCCACATTTGGATCACCCCTCGATTTGGGCTTCAATAGTTGAACACCCCCCCTTTAAAAGTTTATGCCAGTTGTTTAAGAGATAAAACAATAATAAATATGTATTACAATGTATCTTATTATACAGTAAATATATATTATTCATAATTTATCAACCCTACCTTAGCTTTGAGAACTTTTGTTTTTATATCTTCTTAACTATTTTCACTAGAAATCTGAGAAAAAATTCAAACATTTGCACCTGTTCACTACTTCCTGCCACAATTTTGAAAAAACTTGTCATTTCAAATCCATACATCAGCTATAGCCTGAAAGATGGCTCCAACAATACTATAAGCTATTTCAGTTAGCTTATAACCTATATAAATTCTTATTTTCGGGAATAATATGCTAATGTGTCAACTTTTGGGACCCTGCCAACAACTGGGTACTTTACCTTAAATGTGCCATGTTGCCACGTTTAATTTTAAAAAAGCGAAAATACTAGGCATGAAGTATAGTTAATTTGAAAATCCATTTTTTAATAACAAAATATTGATAACAATCATAAAACGCTAAATATTTTAACGTGGTTGTTAGATCTATCCTTATTTTAATCCTGATTTCTTCAATTTGGTCTATTGTGAAAAATAAACATTTTTTAAAGATACCATCAGCTTTTGACAATTTGGCAAGCATCCGTCCTGGATGAACCTGATTGGTTGAGTTTTTGGCAGGTTCGCCGTTGTCATGGGAAACCATAGGGTGGTCAATGAGCTAACGTCAATTTATATTGAAAAATCCAGTGGCGGAGATTTGGTCATTGCTGATTTTCGTGTACGAGTTGCAATACGATAACACTGCCAAAAAGTTCCGCAGGCAGCTGGGTATTTTATGAATGAAATCAGCCATTTTTTTTTACAACTGCATTCCCCTTACCGTTGCCCCGTAGACACAGAGTCGCTGGGCAGACATTAGATACCTATCTATAAACTTATGAATGAAAAACTAAAATTAAAATCATAAAAATTCAAAAGATAGTGAAAAAATTGAATGAAATATGTTCCGCAATCATATTTGCAATGCCAGAAATCACTTTGCAATCCCAAAAATCACCTAGCAATCTCAAAAATTAGTTCGCAATCCCCCCTGCAGTCTCTGCAGTCACTGAAATCGCCTCGCAATCCTCCAAAATCGCAAATTTTTAGAAAAATTCTCCGAAATCGCTGCAATCATTTGGAAATCATAGGATTTCCGCAATACATGTACATATTTTTCGGGAGTGGTCGCCCCCTCGAGGTATTCTAATGTTCTTGGAAGTTTTTAGTTAGTTCTAAAGTGTCATGTGACGATTTTCAAGATATTCTAACTCTAACAGTTTCCAGTTCTAGATTGTTTCCAAAAGTTCCATATGATTTGTAAGGTGTTCTAGAGGGTTTCGAAAGCTTTCTAAAATGAAATAAAAGTAATCTTTTTTTTTGTTTGTTTCAGGATCTTGTCGTTCCGGTGTAGGCACCTCAGCCTCAGTACAAACATCTTACTACTGCGAAGTCACTGACGATATGAAAAGTTCACAGGGCGGAGGCACCGACGAAGAACTAATCGAAGTAGTCGAAATGACTGTGGCAGAACTTAAAAAATACCTCATACAGAACGGCGTAGTCAACAGTCCTCCCAGTTTTATGTATTGCATGTATTGGTTTTTATTGAACAAAGATAAAAAGTCCCATTTGTAATTTGTTCTGTAATTTGTTTTTCCTTGTTTTCAAATTTTATCTTTATTATATTATTGTTTTACTTGTACATGTAAATACTATGCATCACTGTCCTGACTAATTAGAATTATTTTCAGATATCTTATTCACTGTCCAAGTCAATAGTTTCAATGGAATTATTCTTAGGAGCAATATCTTCACTTTCATCACTCCAATCATCTAACCAGCAGTATTGAGGTTTTCCTTCAATCATTTACATGGAATTATTTTCAGAAGCCTAGACATGCTTCTGAAAATAATTCCAAGCAAATGATTAAAAGAACACCCTGAAATTGCTGGTTAGATGATTGGAGTGATGAAAGTGAAGATATTGCTCCTAAAAAGTGATTTCACTAAACAGTAGTGCTGGACAGGAGAATAATGAAATTGTAGCCATTGGTCCTGAAAAGAATTCCATGGAAGTTATCAACAATACAATATATATAGTATAGTTGCGCCTGTCCTGCAATGAAACTCAAAATATTGCTCCTGAAAATGATACCAACAAAGCAATAGGTGGTCTGTTGAATAGAAATGAAGGCTCTGTTCCAGAAAATAATCAAGAAGCAAAGCCTTCATTATCATCAGACTCCTGACCAGCTTTGTTGGAATCATTTTCGGGAACAAAATCTTGAGTTTCATCAATGTCCTGTCCAGCTATATTGTGGTTGTCTAATCTATAGCCTCCATGGAATTCTTTTAACGAGCAATGGCTGCAATTTCATCACTCTCCTGTCCAGCAATTCCTTTTTTATTTGGTTACCGGTATCATAATGAAAGTGCAAATTATAGGTACTTATTTAATTTGTCATAAAATAAATTATTTTAAGTTGGCAATAGCCTAATGTGATCCTATAAAATAATGTAATTACATATTTCACAAATTATTTTTAATTCCTTATTGTTTCAAATTCTCAATAAAGATATTTCGTTGAAACTGAAACAAGATTTTCATTGAATACTTTCTCTTCTATTCCAAGCCTCTGAGGTTTAAACATGGTGAAAGATAAGAGTATCAACCCGAAAGGAAAATAGTTGTTCCTCATTTTGAATGTCATGTATAATAATTCTAGGTTGCAACCAACCTAGTTAAAGATATCCAATCTCACACTGATCCATTATCATACGTCGAACATCTACGCATGACAGACTCATTTTCATCTATACCAACAAATATCACTGAACTTAAATTGACAATAAAATCCATTAAAAATAAAAACGCAGCTGGTTCAGATGGCTTATCTGCTAAAATCTTGAGTGACCTCCCGGATCAGGCACAGCAGGTTTTGTCTTATGCCATAAATAAATTATTTGTGGAGGGATCATTTCCATCAAGTCTAAAGAAAGCTACGGTAGTTCCAATTCACAAAAATGGAGACACGAAAAATCCTGCAAACTATCGGCCTAACTCATTATGATCAACAAGAAGGTACCTACCTTATGATTTAAATTTTGGAATGTCATAACATTTTTACTATTACCTATAGATAGAAAGCTGAAATTTTCACTGAATTTTATCCCACAAAGGGACTACAATCAATCCCTTCAGCTCATTTGCAGTTATAGAATCGTGTTAAGCAATTTGGGGTGATTTATCAATTTTTTTCATAGATTTCGGCTTCAAATCTGAGAATAATTTAGTGTATGGAGTTTGGGAGTGTTAATTGACCATGAGGACACAAAATCTCCACAAAAAAAATTTGAAATTTCATCGTTTTAGTAAGAAGTTACCTACCTTATAATTTAGATTGTGGAAAACTTTGGAAGGTCATAACTTTTTTACCATTATAGATAAAAAGCTAAAATTTTCACTGAATCTCATTCCACTAAAGGGACTATAATCTCTGAAAATTTCAGCTCATTTGCACTTATAGTTCCTGAGATAAAATCGTGTTAAGCAATTTGGGGTGATTTATCAATTTTTCAATTTTTGTGAGTGCCTTTTTTCATAGATTTCGGCTTCAAATCTGAGAATAATTTAGTGTATGGAGTTTGGGGGATGTTAATTGACCATTAGGACATAAAATCTCCACAAAAAAAAATTTGAAAAGAAGGTAGGTGGGTACCTACCTTATTATTTAGATTTTGGAAAACTTTGAAAGGTTATAACTTTTTTATTATTATAGATAGTAGAGTGCCCAACGCAGTTAAAGCCTTCTAAAAATGAGTTTTGTGGGCGCATCGGGGCTAGAAGCTGAAACTTGCACAGAATGAAGGTTTTACTATGCTTATTCAAAATCTCAAAGTAATACAAAATCAGAACGGGCAAAAGGGCAGTATATTCAAAAATTGAGATTATTGCATGAACGTAAAGAATAGTAATTTATGACTGTTCTCATATAAAATTTATCTATATTGTGGTACAAATTATATTTTTTATTATTGATTGAAATAAGCCGAATACATTGACTCTTACGGTAAAATAAATCTAAAAATTGAAATATCTCCGTTCAAACCTGAGCAAAATCTGATTGAAATATATTAATTTTTGTATTCACCTCGCATGAAAGCTCAATTCAAAAATTTTTATTCTTCTAAAAAGTTTGCTTCATGTAGGTAAGTAAGTAAATATTTTATGCGAAATCTAGCTTTATGAGTTCTCTTACTGCCCTACAAATTTAAAGTTGTTACTATCTGTAGTTTTTGAGAAATCCGGATTTTTAAGAGAGCTGCCAGATAGTTTTTAGGAAATCCAGACTTCTAGGATAGCAGCTAGAACTGAGAAATTGAAGGAAGCTTCCCAAGTAAATGTCTTATACCCTAAAGTCCAGCTTTATTTTCTACCCTGCAACTTATCTTTTTTTTACCCTGCAAGTTTTAAGGCTCAATTTATTCATCTTCAAACAAACTTGCTGGTAACTATCTCCAAGAATAATTTACCTACCGTTCTATAATTCTCCTATCATTCTACAATTTATAAAGGCATTTGGGTCAGTTAAAACCCGAAATTGAAAAGAAAAATCAAACTGCTCAAAAATACTTTGTAAGTAAAAATAGTTTTATTTTGAGTTAATACAAGATAAAGAGTATGATCTAAACAAAAATATGTTTTCTTTTTTATCATCATCTAGCGGCCTAATGTAGACAACACACAAATTGTTAAACTTAAATATATCACAATGCAGTACAAGCACAACAAAATATATATGTATTATAGTTTTAGTGAATTTTTCAAGACAATATACCTACGACAATCTCTTAATAATAATTAGTTTTTGCGACAAATATGTAACAAGTTTCTCTTTGGTTTTTTCAATAAATACATCAAGCAAGTATACAAAATCTGTCTTTCTTATTGGCTTGTTACATTTTTGTCTATATTAATTTCTATAAATCTATTTTTAGTTTAGGGGTGCAACCCATAATATATAAATATTAATCTCAATAAGAAAAAATAGTTTCTAGATTTCCACACAACTAAGAACATAAATTATTATTTTCCAATTTCAACAATCATAATACCTACTTGAAAAAAAAAAATTACTGATTACTTGCTCATTGAAATCCAATAAAAATATATAATCGTCCTCCTTGGATGTTGGACTACGGGCAGTCGATTCACAATGAGAAAAATTTCAAGAAAGCCGATGGTGGTACTGGATCTGGTTGCGTAATACCGCCAGCTTCCTGTACCCGAGCCTTAAAATCTGGACATTGCTCTGCAATACAAGGATGACCTAGCGATTTCCAAAAGAGACACCTGCAATACTTGCAAAGAGACAGCATTTCCGCGTACTGACGTTCTTCGTTTAAACCATATTTCCTGGAAAAGTATCCGCAATTAAATACTTAAATATGAAATGTTTACTTGGATTACCTTTTCAATGAATTAAAAACAATTTTCCAATCAATTTTGTCTCCATCGCTTGGCAAAACTCGTTTAATTTGTTGACTAGAAAAGTGAAACTTAGTCAGCTCGCGCCACACTCTTTGCTCGTTGACGATAGAGCAAATTTGATCGCACGATTGGGCGCTGGCAGTCAAATCTCTATGGTCGGACAGTCTCAAGATAATCTCTCTGATACATTCTTCGGGCAGGTTCAGTAGTTTCGGATGGAGGTCCGGATGGGGTTCTTGAATTTGAAATTCCAAACCCATGTTGAGGATACGGTTGATTTTGGCTGTGTGCTGGTGCCAGAGAAGCTGAGATCCAAGAGGACCTAAAATTGATATTGTTTTGTGACAATCTTTTGATTTTGTCAGATTCTTACCTCCCCAACAAGCAGATCTCTCAGCAACGCTTAAAGCTTTCAGCTTGTACAAAAGTCTTCGGAAATTCCTAGGATTATGCTGACTGGTGGTGGCAAATCTGGCAACCTCTTCCAGCATGGCCAGCAAAGCTTTCTGAGTGCATCCGGACATTCCGGTCATTTGTTGACCGATCAAATGATCGAGGAGGGCACAGACATAGTTGAAACGTCGTACGTCGCGAACGGCGCTACGGAAATCTAGGCGTTTGACTGCTTCGTCTAATTCGTTGAATCCTGCAATCTAATCAAAACTAATTTGTTGGATTTATGTTAATGACAGAGAGGTAAATTTTGGATAAAAGTTCAATGAAGTAACGACACTAGAGGAAAGAAGAGTATAATGTCATCGGAGTGGAACAGTTCCATACATAATTGTTATTTGGAAAGTCTCAAAAGGTTTCCAAATGGAAACACTTAAAGAATCGGATCATATTTCAGTACAACTCTGTATGCACAGAGAAGAAGTTTAGAATGGATCAGAGAGAAACTCCAGGAAGAAATCGATTTAATTTCGGAATGAGGCATCAACTGGAAGATCAGGATCAATCCATTGAAGAACCAAAAGCAATTTTTTTTCAGAGGGAAGAAGGTTTACCTCACTGCTTAAAGTAGTCATATTCCATTGCAAAGAATACCTTATAGCTATACTAAGAGGAACAGAAGTACAACTGGATGCCAAGCTGAAATGAAATAAAACCTAGAAAAGCCTAGGGATCTCAAAATCTGTAGGGTACAACTTTTTGGCGACAAATTATATTAATCACATTTAAATCAGGGTTGGCAAAAACTCGGGTTTTTTGATAATTTCTATTGGGTTTTTGGGGTTATGTGGATTATTGTGATTTTTTTTGTAGGGTTTTTGTGTTTACTTATTAACTAAACAAAATTCTAAGTTTGTTTCAACAGTTTTGCACTTGGCAAGCTTCAAGATCGAAATTATTTAACATTGAATATTTTCCAGAAATTACATTATTGGGACAGTTTTTGCCCTACAGCTCCGTTACTTTTCATCCGATTTTAACGCAATCAAGCTCTAATTAAAGTAAATTAAATTTCCTACCAACCTATCGCAATCAAGATTTTAATTTAGTTTCAACAGTTTTGCAGCTGAAAAGCTTCAAAATTGAATTTATCAAACATTGAAAATTTTCCAAAAATGACACTGAGACAGTTTTTGCCTCACAGAAGTCACAGATGCGTTAATTTTCATCCGATTTCAATGTAATGATGTTCCAAATAAATGCAATTAAATTCTCTACAAAGCTATCGATTAGGATTTCAATTTAGTGTCAACAGCTTTGAACTTGAGAAGCTATAAAATTGAAATTATCAAACATTGAAAATTTTAAAAGATGACATTGGGACAGTTTTTGCCTCACAGCTCTGTTAATTATCATCTGATTTAAATGTAATTATGTTCTAATTGAAGCTAATTAAATTCTCTACAAAGCTATCAATTTAAATCTAAGAAGCTTCAAAATTGAAATTATCGAATATTGAAAATTTTCCAAAATGAAACTGGGTTTTGTGTATGCCAACCCTGATCTAAATTCACTGACAATAGAACATCCTATTCACGAGTCAAAATCTAGTCTTATTACCTCTTTTGTAGATTTCACAGTTATTTGACAGTGAGGTTGATGATGGCTGGACGATTGTTGTTGGTCAGAATCAATGTTTTCTTTTTCATCTTCGTTGTTTTCATTGGACCTGAAACAAAAAGAATGGCGCTCAGTAATATTGCATTGTTTTGTAAATACGAACCATAAGTCATAAAACCATTACAATGTTGAACAAACTGTTCTGAAATATGCACAACAGAAGCTCACGCTGTTGCCCTGACTCAGCGAGTTTTGCTTTTCTACTGCCAAGGTTGCAAGGATGCTGTAGAAGAATTGTCAAGGGATAATAAGGTTTTGTCTGACTAAAAAAAGCCGAATTATTATCTCAATCTAAAGACCTGGAGATTGAGAATCTTGAAAATGAAAAAGAAGCTACATGCGCTGATTTACATAAAGAAGTGGAAGCATTGCTTGTTGAAATAAAAGAAAAAGACTCCCATATAAAAAGACTTAATAGAGCGAACAATGGACTTTGAGGAGGAAGCGCTTGCAACTGAATGAGGGTTTTGCTAAAAAAGTGAATGAGCAAAAACATGAAATATCTAAAGCAAATAGAGAGATTGTTGAGATGATAAAAAAAAATGGCATACTGACAAAAGATATTAAAGAGCTAGAAATTAATCTTAAAAGGCAAACCCAGAAATTGTCTGAACTTGATAAGCTTAAAGTTAATATGATGACAAGTATAGATACTGTATCAAAAGAAAATGCTCTGTATGCAAAAGATCTTAAAAAAGCTAACCGAGATCTTCTGGAAGTGCGAGAAAAACAACACATAGTGAATAAAGGTGTAAATGTACAAACTGAGCGAATTGTACACTCACAAATCGAAAATGGTGGTACTTATGTGGGATCATTGTCCGGTTGTGTTTCGGAATTAGTACACAAGCAACCTATTCAACAACCTAAGCAGAAAGTACTCGTTTTGACAGACAGCTATGGTAAGTTCGTCTATGGGCCGCTTAAAAAAAGCTAGGTGAGAATGATGACTTGCAGGTTATTTGCAAGCCAGGTGTTGCATTTAAGCGTCTAATAGCGGACCCGGAGGGTTACATTGATGGTTCTACAGATTCCGATTATGTGATAGTATTGCCTGGATTCCCTGAAAGTGTACGGTTAGACGATGTAACTCTTTTCGCTAATAAATGCTTTTATACTAATTTATTATTATGCACTTCACCTGCAAGATATGACAATGGTGAACCATTCAAGGGTGTCATAATAATGGAGATATAATAAATATGGGTTTGTTACATGTGTATTTCTATAAAGACATAGACATGACTCTAATAACAATTCATTTTCCTTTCACTGAAAATTTCTTCTTGAAATTACCTCTCAAGCTGTCATTCTTAAATATTATTGGGGAAGAAACATTTTGTCACTTGGATGTTAGCGCAGGCAATAATTTTCTCCAATGATAATAACATGTTTTTTCCATTTACGCATCTTTGCCCTAGTATATATAAACAGGCTTTGATTGAAAATCCACAAATCCAAATAATGTTATGGCAATATATAGTTATGGTTCTTTTTGGAACCAACCTCGCTTGCGGCCGTTTACTTATAGAAACCCAACAATGTTTTTCCATAAACATGTCCATCATTTCAACCAAAACAATTATAATAGACTTACTAGTCAATAATAATATTGAGGAGGATGAAAATGTAAGAAAACTATTTGGATTATTGATTTTAAAATCACCAACTATTAATATGTGTCATACAATATCAAATAAACATAAAAATTATTCTAAAGAGGCTAAAATTGACACAAAAGAAGTTACTGCAACTGATACTGAAGCTAAAAATAGAAATGCTGATGTCGAGCACAAAGCAAAAATATACGTGGGAAATGATGCGACAATATTTTTGAACTATTTCCAAATTGAAAATAATGGTGAAATAATTTCCAATGCTAGACAAACTAATTTGATCTTGTTTGCTTCACCGACAACGGACATACAAGAAGTTGGACGAGTTTTGAGGCATTTATGGATCAGCTTTAAAATCTTGAATGCTATTGCACTTGTTCCTTGTAAATACAAAGAGTCAGTGTTTGTTTATAAACCTTTCCAACCAAACTCCAATGGTGGCTATGGACAATTATGGATCCTATCGTTGGAAACTCTACAAACCAATCCTCATTTGAATACTGCAACCGCTTTAAACGGATATCCTTTAAATATTTCAATATTTTCTAGATATCCGACAGCTACAAAAGAGTTACCGTATGTCATGAAAGATAGTAGGATTTACGATAAAATCCCTACTACGTCAGGTTTTTATGGTTTAGATGGTATGATTATATCGGAACTCTATCAGCTGATGAATTTTACCATAGACAAAAGACGCAATTCAACAAATGATTATTATGGAATTGTTATTAATGGAACCCCAAGAGGAGTGATGCAAGAAATTGCTAACAGAACATTGGATTTGCATGCCAATGCAAGATATTTTGTAAATTATGAATGGGACTGTCTTGAGTACACGACTTTATTCAAATTCGACTACATAAGCGTTTTAGTACCAAAATCACTTGAAATGTTAAAATGGTTAAAGTTGCGCAACATCGCCTATTCAAAGGATACTTTCGGGTTTTTAATTGCAACTATCATCTGCTCTATTGTTAATATGTTTCTGAAAAAATCCATAGTGGATGCTATTTTGGAAATCTATTGCATTGCCTTAGGTGTAGGGCAAAAATCCATTACATTGTATAGGAAACTGTCTAGAAGAGTTTTCATAGGCTCTTGCATGTTATTTTTTATGGTAATGTTGCCAATATTTACAGCAAACATGACTAGATCTTTAAGTACTGCCTCATTTCTGCCTGACATTGAGAGTTTAAAGCAACTAGATGCTAGTGGGTTGATAATAAAGTCCTCGACCAACGTTTTTCGCTTTCACAATTCAGGAGTTTACAAACGATTATCAAAAAAAGTTGACCGCAAGTACGAAAATGTCAGCGCCTTGGATTTGGTAGTTCGAACCAAAAAATATGCCGGATTAGAACAACTTTGGGATGGCAAGCTGAAAATCATCACTCAGTATACTTCGGATAATGGCCAGCCTTTGTTGCATATAGTTTCGGAATATGCGGCTGGACGTTATAGTGGATACGTGGTTCCTAAAGGTTCGCCTTATTTGAATAACATCAACTATTTGATAACTAAATTTGCAGAGGGAGGGTTTTTGCAAAAGTGGTATTTTGATTTCTTCATTGGATTTAGTGCCAAAGGAAGAATGGAACGGAGAAAGAAGCGTAAATCTGATATGGACCAAAGGGCATTTAGCATTGAGGATATTCAAGGAGCTTTTTGGATTTTGGTGTTAGGTTATACTCTCTCACTGATTGTTTTTGTGTTTGAAATGGTTTTTGGAAAAATGTTCCAGTAAACGAAGCATTTTAACAATATAATAATTTGTATTTCTGTGTGTGTTTTTTTTTTTAGTTTAAAGGACTTTTGACTCAAAATTCTTGCTTGAAGAATGAATATTGAAAACGAAGCATAAGATTTCAGATTCTTTGGAACTCGAAAAACATTGACTGTGAGTCAACCATCTACAATCCGATGTCACAACAACAACATGCTTTATTGTAAAAATTGGCCATAATAATCTCTAAACTCTAGGTAGGGATTCTATAGACCTGGAATTTTCTAGCAAAATAATAAAGTGAAATCTTCTCTTGGAAACTCCCATTTGGTATTTATTGAAACAAAACTCACAGAGCATTGAAAGTTGTCAACAGATCCTTTTCACTCACTTAAGTATTCACAAATCATGATCTTTGGGATTTTTCCAATATTGCAAATTTCTTCAGAATCTTCAGCGGCTTTAAGTTCTTCAAATTTTTAATGATTACCCTGAACAGTCTTTCAAGTCTTTGAATTCTTCTGGATTTTCAGGCCAATCAAAATTCTTAAAGCTTCCAGTCTTTAGTAGAGTTTGTAAAACCCATAGTCTTCAGACTCTTTAGTAGTGTTGTGTGTGGCATAAGCCTTTCAAGATTAGACCCTAGTCTTTAGGGTTGCGCTTGAGGGATTCTAGGCTTCAATGTTGGGCCTTGAAAGTGTTTAGATTTTTCAAAATCTTGAGTCATTTTCTTTCAACCTTCAGTGTTGTGTCTATCTTGATATCTCAGGTTCATAAATATGCTCAATCATAGCTAAGTTCAATTTTGTCCCTCTAGTAGAGCCAGGAATGAATTTTCAATACTTATCTAGTTCAAACTTTAGCTTTAGGAGATTGTTAAACTCCCAACAGGTTCAAAATTAGCTTTCCAAAGTACTCTGGCTCAACCCCAATTCTAGAAAGGTCAGAAACCCAGAGCTTCTCTATTTTTTGGTCCAGTTTTGGTCCTACGAAGATCAAAAGGGCAGAATAAGTAAACTTCAACAAGAGTAGATTAGGTGTCTTCTCCAAGTCAATCGATTCTCAAATTTCAATAATTCTACCATTCAGAAACTCTAAATTGCTGACATTTAAGAAGTTTTATGAAGCCTAAGCAAAGATACTTAAGCCTATGTGAATGGAAGTTACTTTTGTCTCTGAAAACTCCCTAAATTCGAAAAGTCCCATAGTTGACAACACCCCCCAACTGAAACAACTGCTTCATAAAATACAATTATTTATTATTACAAAAATTCAAATACAAAAAACCACACAAAGTTCCAATATAAACACAACCAAAGCAGCAAAAAGTCCAAAAATCCAAAAAATAAACACACTTTTTGCATCGTCCATGGAAAACTTTTCGCGACTGTCCTTACTCTCGCTCGTAATTTTCAACCGATTTCCTTTAGCTTCGTAGAAAATCGCTCGCGTGATATCCTTGTACCATTTATCATTGAGGCCCATCTCGTTGATCCAAATCATTATATGGTTTATAATTTTCAGGTACGGCGAACCCGTTGGTACTATGAACGACAAAAAATACCTGTTGGGGCATTCTGGTACTATGTGCAGCAGCGGTGCTCCGTCTTTATCTGAAAATTCTGTTTCGATTTTTATATTAGAGTCTGTTAATCTTTCCAAACCGCCAGTTTTGTAAGCCAAGGCACTTTCAATAGAAGATAAATCTGGGTTATGTTTGCTTTGCACTTTTGCTGCCAAGCTCTGGTAAATAGGAGAGGGCACTTCTTTGAAAGGATTAATTGAAGATTGTATGCGCAATCCGCTTCTATTAAAATCCTCCATAGTATTTATATCAGGAAAGTGTACTGTGGTACTGTAAACTGACAGTAATGTGGCTGATAATAATGTGGATATAACGATGCAGTACATTAAAAAGCTACCAAAAAAAAATCTTCCTGCAAGTGACTTATTGGAATTTTCGGTAACCGCTTGGGTCAGGAAGGATCCGTAAATTTCCAAAATAAGAATTCCAAGTGGTACATTTTGGCCTCTGAAAAGCTTATTAAAAACAACACACGCGATTAATAACAAAAAAGTTACTCCTAATAGTTTCCCTCTGAAAATATCCATGGTTCTTAGCCATGTTGGCATTATTCCAGCTTTTGGAACGATAATACACATCTCATCATGGCTGAGTATGTAAGTAAATTCATATCCATTGACATTATATGGTTGCATGAATCTGGAATTTCCTTGTAAATCGACCGAACGATTAATTATAAGTTTTAAAGTTTTTGTTGGGGAGCCATTTATTACATTTCCATAAGAATCTTCTCTTGAATCGTTGAAAATATCAATTGTAAAGTTCATCATTTGGGACAACGTGAGCATGGCTGCTCCGTCCAATCCATAGTATTTGGACGTGGTTGGTATTTTATCGTAAATTTTCCAATCTTTGATAAACCATGGTACGTTATCAGATGAGATTGCTGTAGGAGATCTTTCAAATAAAGAAATTTTTAAAGGGTATCCATTGATGTTTTTTAAATTGTTCAATAAAATATGAGGATATTTTAAAATTATAGAATAATGGTAAACATTTACTTGTCCGTAGCCATTTTCAGTTGCTTTAAATGGATTGTAAGTGATGATGAATTCCTTATATTCACTGGAACAGGGAAAATGCACTATTATGTTCAATATTGAATATTTTTTCCATAAATGTATCAATAATTTTTGTACTTGTTTTATCTTAACATTTTTGGAAGAGAATAGGAAAACTTTTAGGCACCTAGCTGACTTGAAAAATCTATTAGGATTAACCATCGTTTGAGAATAGCGTAAAAACATTTTAAAGTTTTCTGCTATGTAAATACGAACCATGTCAAAATCTATAAAATTCATTTTTTCTTTAAAAATTGCATCTGCTTCATTTGATGATAAACTAGTAGCTGTTCCGTTAACTATTGTAACTTTATCCAATGTCGGATAATGAATTGTTTCAATTTTAATATTACTCTTTATTATTCTATGGTGTAACCATGTAGCCTTGTTAAGCACAAAATTCATTTCGTAAAATTCCTTTAGTAAATCCATTAATCCATGTGAAGGGTTTTTGTGGTAACTTATCGTAGTGACGTCGATTTGTTTACACATCACAAAATGTTTAATATAGATTTCGTAGTTTTTAAACGAGGTACACTCGCGATTGTCTTGGAAAATGATTTTGCCTAAAGCCATTGGCAAAAGGTGAAGGAACGTTATTAAATTCATTTTTGACCTGCACGAAAACTCGACACAAAATAACTTCTATTTAGGGCCTTAATGAGATTATAATTTCTAATAGTGAAAACTAAAGCAGCTGTGATTTTCCTTTGAGTTGCAAATTACGTGTAATTTGTCCTTTGTACAAGTCAAACACAGTCGAAAAAAAAAAAAAAAAACTTGTAATTATTCTAAAGAATTGCATATTGCACGCGATGGTTTTTTGGATTATACTGGGAGTTGAAATTTATTTTGACTCTGCCAATCCTTATACCAGAATATTGCGGAGAAACATTTTACGGCTAGATGTTGGCACCCATATTTCCAGGTCGGAGGTTAATACCTACGATTCGTAATCTATAGTGTCAACTTAATTCTCCTGAAACCCAAGAATTTTTCGGGAAGTTAAGTTTTGAACTGGACAGTAGTAAGTTGATCACTTATTTTGTGACATAGTTTTGTGAATAGTTAAGCCAATAGGCTACAAAGAACTACCTTGCACAAGTCGCATGGGGCTCCAAAAAGCTCGCCTTTGTCGGGTCTGGCTTTGAGAATACATGGACTCTTGCACTTTTTGCAATAAGTAGAGTTCATTGTCCACAAATTATGCAAACATAGAAAATTTGAGTTTCAATTTTAAATATTACGGTCCTTACTCGAAAAAAACATCCCACAATCCTCAGGTCAATGCTAGTTATATTAACCAATTGCCATGCTGATTTATAATCAATTATCTATTTTTTATATGCTTTAATGTGCTTACCCCTTTCCTCTAGGACTTTTTAAATACATTGTTGTAAAGTAAACATCAAATTGCTATGTCGGCATTAAATGTTTATTTAAGCCGATGCAGTCCCATAAGAAAACGTTCATTTGTTTTCTGGCTTTAGCCTGTAGCAATTTGATCCGAATATTTTCTTTTGTCACCTCTGTATTTTAATCAATAAAATAAATGTTTTTTAAAATACAAGTTTCTGAATCGAAAATATAATTGGCGCAGTCGTTCGGATGCTCAGAGTGCTTAAGTTTCGGGAGTTGATACAGTCGTAATCCGTCGCGAAAATTTCAAAAGACTGAAGAAAGTTCGAAAAAGTGAATTCTTCGGAAAAGTGAAATTTGGATTATCAGTGCTGCTATTAAACGTTCCAGATACTGTCCACTTCGAATTGGTTAACTGAGTATAAGGAATAACAAGAAACAACGTGTGAAGAAAGACTACTGTTATTAGCTTTGCCTAGTAAGTACAACCTTTCTCTTTATACATTTTGTAATTGGTGTTCCATAGTTAAGATTTTTGGATTTTTGATCTTTTGTAATTTCTAATTTTTGATTTACTGAGAAGACTTAAATTCAGATTTTTGTTCTTTTGCAATTCCAAAACGGTTTGCTGAAAAGACTGAAATCAAAAAATAAAGAGTAACAAAGAATTTTCTAATTCGAGAAGTAACAACCAAAATCAAAGACTAACCGTAACAATGAGTGAAAATTTGAAATCAATTGTACAACTAATCAAACCTTTCAGTGGCGAAAGCCAATATTTAGAATATTTCATAAGAAACATCAATTAATTTTATCAAACTTACTATACTGGTGAAAATGCTCAAAAAGAGTATGTGGTTTCCGCCATAAAATCAAAATTAATAAATGACGCAGGAAATTTTCTTATGGCACGTCCTGATTTACAAACATGAACTGATATAAGAGAAGCGTTAAGAATTGAGTATGGTGATCAATATTCTAGACAGAATTTGGTACAAGAGCTTATGTATACCTCTAAAACTAATAAAGAAACTATTATTGAGTATTTGGATAAACTAAAAGGTTTGGTTCAAAGAATTACATCTAAAATCATGTGCGACCCGAATTTAACGGTAGTTGCAAATGTTTTAATTGAACAAAACGAAATTATTGCTATTCAAAATCTAGTCACTAATTCGCCAACCGAATTAAGAACAATTTTAATGGTTCAAAATCCACAAACGTTGGATGCAGCTAACAAATTTGTGTTAAATTATCAACTAGCTGAAAACCACATAAAATTTAGTAGGGGACTTACTCATTCTACTAATCAAAATTAAAATCAAAATTTTTCAAATTTCAAAAATAAAAATACGCAATTTCGTTCACAACAAACCTATACTCAACAAAAACCTCAATATACACAAAAAACATCGTATGTACCACAGAAACCACAGTTTCCATCCCAACCTCTTAATATACAACCTAAAAAGGACTATGTACCAACAAAATTTCCTACTAGTTCAGGAACTTTTGGCAAAAACTACAATAATGCCTTTCGAAAAAACACTAATCAACAATTTTCGAAACCCGCACCTATGTCCGGTGTTTCAGTGCAACCAAGAGCACAAAATGAACATCAATACCCTTCTAAATATACAATCGAAGAAATTAATAGTATCTTTGAAATCGAATTGCCTGAACCTGATGAAAATTTCGAAAATGACGAATGTTCTGAAAATCAAAACTATTATGAAGAGACAAATTTTGAAGAAAATCAAGTCGCAACTGAAGACGAAAATTTTCAGATACAAGCCTTGGATGCAATGAGTCAGCATTAACGTTAAATGCTTATCAAATCAACCAACTCCCTTTTATTCAAATAGACTATCCACCGTGTAAATTATTAATTGACACAGGAAGTCATGCCTCTTTAATAAGACCCTCATTAGCAGAAGAATATTTTTCAAATTCTATAATTAATCCAAGAAACAAGCTAACTACTTGCATGGGTACAAGAAAAACGAATGGAAAAATCAATATCCCAATTTTACAAGAATATAATATTCAAAACAACATTGAAATGATAATGTATAATTTCCATGACCATTTTGATGGAATTATTGGAATCAAAGCATTACAAGATAATAATTTAAATATAGATTTTTCTAATATGCTTCTTTCTAATAATAATACAACAATTCCGTTTCAATATAGAACAGATTTCGAAAATCAAAATTTTGAGATTCCAAGCAACTCAATTCAAGTATGTTATTTCAATACAAATATAGCTGATGGCATTGAAATACTTACACCACCGATAAAAAATGAAACGTATTATATACCATCGACAATAGCCACAGTCATAAACGAGACCGTAGCTCTAGAAGTACATAACTTAATGAATAAGCCTATTATTGTCCCATATAACATAAACAACTTAGCGGAAATAAGTTTACCGTACGCTGACGAACAGTTTGAGATATTTAATATAGAGCAAATGACTTTATTAGAAAATGCTGAATATGCAAATGACCCCATTAAGTCGTTGCGTATTAATCATTTAAACTCAGAGGAATTTGATGCTTTAAAACACGTAATTAAATCTTTTCCTAAAATTTTCCACAAGCCAAATGAAAAATTGACATTTACCAATCAAGTCAAACATGAGATTAAAACAACAGATGAAATACCAGTGCACACGAAAACGTATAGATACCCACATGTGCACAAACAAGAAGTAAATTCTCAAATAAAGAAAATGTTAGAAGATAACATAATCAAACCATCCTGTAGCCCTTGGTCATCTCCTGTGTGGATAGTACCTAAGAAAGAAGATGCCGCAGGCATACAAAAATGCAGAATGGTCGTTTATTATCGAAAGATAAACGAAAAAACTATTGATGATAGATATCCATTACCTAATATTACGGATATATTAGACCGACTTGGTCGTAGTAATTATTTTACGACACTAGATCTAGCCTCTGGCTTTCATCAAGTCGAGATGCATGAAAATTCGATACCCAAAACAGCATTTAATGTTGAAAATGGTCATTACGAATTTAACAGAATGCCCTTTGGTTTGAAAAACGCCCCCGCGACATTCCAGAGAGTGATGGATAATGTATTACTAGGATTACAGAATAGAATATGTCTAGTATACATGGATGATATAATAATTTTTTCCACTTCACTTCATGAACATGTAAAAAATTTAAAGAAAGTATTTGAGAGACTCGAGAAGTTTTATTTGAAAATACAATTAGACAAATCAGAATTCCTACACAAGACAGTCGAATTCTTAGGACATGTAATTACACCAAATGGAATAAAACCGAATCCAAAAAAGATAATGGCAATAAAAAAATTCCCAATACCAAAGACGGTGAAGGAAATAAAATCATTTTTAGGATTAGTAGGTTATTACCGAAAATTCATAAAGAATTTTGCCAAATTGACCAAACCAATGACATCTTGTTTGAAAAAAGACAAAAAAAAATAATACACAATGCAGAATTTCTAAATAGCTTTGAAACTTGTAAAAATGTATTAATAAATGACCCAATATTACAACATCCTGACTTTAAGAAAACTTTCTTATTGACAACCGATGCATCAAACTATGCAATTGGAGCCGTTTTATCTCAAGGTCCTGTCGGAGCTGATCTTCCCATTGCATACGCATCAAGAACTTTAAACCCAGCTGAATGTAATTATTCGACGATTGAAAAAGAACTTTTAGCAATCGTATGGGCAACAAAATATTTTCGACCTTATCTTTTTGGTAGAAAATTCACAATCTTGTCAGATCACAAACCTCTACAATGGCTATTTAATGTTAAAGAACCAAGTTCTAAACTAGTCAGATGGCGACTAAAACTATCTGAATTTGATTATGAGATCAAATACAAAAAAGGAACATTAAACATGAATGCAGACGCACTATCAAGAATTCCTGCAATACAACTTCATGCCATTCAAAAATCAGATCCAGATGCCAGATTAACATCTTCAGATGAAGAATTTCATAAAAAATTAGGATTAATGCTGAAAGATACACCATTATGTAATGATGAAATCATAGCAAAATACTTTACAGATTCTAAAGTATATCTTCCTAAACAAAGCGAGATAGCTAAAGAAAAAGAGATAACAATGTCTGAATCATCTCAATCAACAAAGACAGCATCAGAAAAAGAACCTGAAGAAGAACCTAAGAAAGTAAAACCCAAAATAAAGATATTATCACAACTAATAATACCTCCAAG